AAAAAAAAAAAAAAAAAAAAAGAGTATATCATAGCAAAAGTTTTAGAATGTAGCAAAGGCAGTGCTTAGAAGGAAACTTAAAGATTTGAATGCAGCCTGGGTGTGGTGGCTCACGCCTGTAATCCCAGCACTTTGGGAGGCCAACGTGAGCGGATCACGAGGTCAGAAGATCAAGACTGTCCTGGCTAACACGGTGAAACCCCATCTCTACTTAAAAAAAAAAAAAAAATTAGCCAGGCATGGTGGCAGGCACCTATAGTCCCAGCTACTCCAGAGGCTGAGGCAGGAGAATGGTGTGAACCCGGCCGGCGGAGCTTGTAGTGAGCCGAGATCACGCCACTGCACTCTAACCTGGGCAACAGAGCCAGACTCCATCTCAAAAAAAAAAAAAAAGAATTGAATGCAATCTCTAGAGAGAAAAGATATAAAACCAATGCTTAAAAACCTTCCACTTCAGGAAACTAAAGAAAATTTAGTAAGATACATGTAAATCAAGCAGAGGAAAATAACAACGAGAGAAGGTATTAACGAAATAGCAAGCAAGAGATCAGTAGAAAACATCAACAACTCAAAAGCTGGTTCCTTCAAAAGATCAATAAAATGAGTAAGCCCAGAGCCAAGCTAACTCAGAAGAAAGGGGGGTTATGATTACTAATCTTGTGTTCATTAAAGGACCTCAAAAGAGTATTAGGAACAACTGCTGTATTAGGAACAACTGCTGCATGCCCACATAGTTGATAAATTACATGGAATGCACCAATTCCTTGAATGACACAAGCTACCAAAATTAGTTCTCACTAAAGGAGAACTAAGTAATATGAAAAGTTTTATAACTATTAAAGAAATCGAATCAATAATTAATAAAAGTCCCAGGCCAGGCTGGGTGCACTGGTAGGCTAGGCTTGGTGGCTCACATGTGTAATGCCAGCACTTTGGGAGGCCAAGATCGGCAGACTGCTTGAGCCCAGGAGTTCAAGACCAGCCTGGGCAACAAGGTGAAACCCCATCTCTACAGAAAACACAGAAAATTAGCAGGATGTGGTGGCACGTGCCTGTAGTTCCAGCCACTCAGGAGGCTGAGGTGGGAGGATCACTTGAGCCCAGGAGGCAGAAGTTGCAGTGAGATCATGCCACTGCATTTCAGCCTAGACAACAAAGCAAAACTCCATTTCAAGCAAACAAACAAAAAGTCCTAAGAAAAAGGAACAGGCCAGCATGGTTTCACTGTTGAATTCTGGAAAACACTTAGGGAAGAAATGACACAAATTCTCTATAATCTCTTTCAGAAAATAGAAACAGAGGGGACAATTTCTAATTCATGTTGTAAGGCCAACACTGATAATATGGTTTAGCTCTGTGTCACCACCGAAATCTAATCTTGAACTGTAATCCCCATAACTCCCATGTATCAAGGGAGGGACCTGTGGGAGGTGACTGGATCACGAGGGTGATTTCCTGCATGCTGTTCTTGTGACAGTGGGTTCTCATGAAATCTGATGGTTTTATAAGTGTTTGACAGTTCGTACTTCACGTGCTGTCTTTCCTGCCACCATGTAAGAAGTGCCTGCTTCCCCTTCTGCCATGATTGTAAGTTTCCTGAGGCCTCCCTAGCCATGAGGAACTGTGAGTCAATTAAACTTCTTTTCTGGTAGTTCTTTATAGCAGTGTGAAAATGGACTAATACAACTGCCTTAATACACAAAACTAGATAGACATTACAGACATATATCCACCATGTGAGGCCTTAAAGGGAAGAACGCCATCTGCAAATCAAGAAAGAGGCCCAGGTGGGGCGCGGTGGCTCACCCCTGTAATCCCAGCACTTTGGGAGGCCAAGGTGCGCGAATCATGAGGTCAGGAGATCGAGACCATCCTGGCTAACAGGTGAAACACCGTCTCTACTCAAAATACAAAAAATTAGCTGGGCGTGGTGGCATGTGCCTGTAGTCCCAGCTACTTGGGAAGCTGAGGCAGGAGAATCGCTTGAACCCAGAAGGCGGAGGTTGCAGTGAGCTGAGATCATGCCACTGCACTCCAGCCTGGGTGACAGAGTAATACTCCATCTCAAAAAAAAGAAAGAAAAGAAAAGAAAAGAGAAACAGGCCCTTATTAGACAACTGATCTGCTGTTTGAAACTGAATTCCCAGCCTTTACAGCTTTGAGAAATGAATATCTGTTGTTTAAGGCATGCAGTCTATGGTAATTTGTTATAGCAGCCCAAAGGATTAAGTTAGGAAGGGTCTTTCTCTACCACACATCAAGGCTTTGAAGACTATAGTAATCAGGAGAGTATATTAGCAGACTGACGGATACATAAACCAACGAAAAAATAGCAAATTCTGGAACAAGAGCATCTACTTAAGGTACAAGAACCTATGACACAGCAGGTATTGCCAGGCAGTGATACAAATGAGGGACACTTCAACGGAAATGATAGAGACAAACGGTTATCTACAGGAGAATAACCCATCTTCTGCCCAGCATCTCCATATACAATGATCAATTAACTACAGACTTTCTGGTTTTCATTAATTTTTACTCAGTTTGTTACCTCAGCTTCCATTTTGAATGTGGTTTTATGTTTTTCATACCAAAAAAGGGGTTTTATGACCCTTGACACAGCTTCTAGTTCTCTATCTTCTCCCAGTTCTTCAATTTGGTTGATCCATATGCATCTCTTATACCATCATCTCCTTTCACCACCTCCCTATGGGTGCAGAGTGTGTCAAGTCAGGTCCTCCTGTCACCTGGAACATCCTCCATCCCCATGCTGCTCACCAAAGTGTTCAGTAACCACGATCCCAGAAGACACTACATTGTTAGCTTTTCAAGTTCTTGCACCACCTCAGTGGGGTTGGTTTTCCTGTCCGTAGGGATAGTTTTCTCCCTTCATTAGTGTGAGAGCATCAGAAGGGAAGAATCATTTCAGTCCTGTCCCCTTAATACCACCACCCAATTGGTTGGCCAGCCATATATCCCCAAGAAAGGGATGGGGGAAGAAAAGCTGAGTGTTCTAAGGAAGTAGCTTCTTGAGGAAGGGTATACCAGGAGACTCCTACTACAGGGCATCATTCTACTTCCCTACAAGGTCCCACCATCTCCACCTCAGGGTGTCCTCTGGAAGGAGTCACACAGGGACTGATATTCACTTGACACTATAAGAGACTTGGCAGTTGTGGGCATCTTGGGGTAGCCCCAGGCAGTTCTGAAACCCAGGACCAGGAAACCATAGAGGATGGGCTGGGGACTCATCACCCTGTAATGTTTCCAAAGAGGAACCTCAATCCAAACACATTCTTAAAAGGTGTCTCTGTCTAGGGACGATGAAGGGAAGGCAGTAACAAAAATTTTATTTATTAATATTCATTTTTTTTACAGCCAAGTGTCGTGGTTTTTCTCTGCTTCCTCGCATGTGAAATGTTCATAAACACAAAACCTTTTACAAAGAGCCATATATTGCTATGTATAAACAAAATGACAATTAAAATACTAGCCTCTGTTTGAAATATAAACTGGGGGACAAGGAGTTCATAAAGTTGCTGTGAATTGAGAAGAGAAAGCCTGAGGAAGGCTCTGGAAACCAAGGGATTTTCTGTCCGCCCTAGGAGGAGTTAGGATGAGAGAACACAGTGGTGGATTTGAGACCCTGCTGCCCACATCTCTGGAAGACTCGGAGGGGAAACGGTCGCCCTTGGGAAGAAAGAAGGGCCTGAGGACCAAAGAGACCACAGGTCCTCCCACACACAAACCCCTACACACGAGTCGGCCTGGTGACCTGTCGTCACCGTGCAGCCTCCTCACCGGGTTCACGGGAACTGCGAGCCAGGCTGGAGGCGAGATTGCAGTTAGATATTAACCAGATGCCCTCAGCCCCGCTGCCTCACGGGGTCGCCTCCCTGAGAGTCAGGTCACAGCAGACGCTGACCGCCGGCCTCCCCATTGTGCCTGGGGATGCGATCTCTGAGAGTTGCTCAAGGGCCGCCTGAGTTCTTTCTCGGATCCTGAATTCCAGTGGAAAGGCTGGCGCCAAGCAGGCTGAAGACCCCATAAGGGAGCCCACTCAGCATAAGAAAGCGGTCTCACCTCCCGTCCCAGGAGTCACCCCTCACTTCCCCACCATCCAGCGACCCCACGCCCCAGCCGCCCCCGTCCACACCCCTAAACACCCCATTCCCAAACCTCTCAGGAAGGCGGATCTGGAGTGTCCTCCCCTCTCCCCCCATTAAACTGTTTCTGCTGCAGCCCTCAGCGTCTCGGTGCAGTTACTCGGGCCGCGAACCTGTGCCGGTTACAGCCGCACAATCCGGGGAGACGCGGGGCTGCGGGCGCGTAGTTGCCCAGGGAGGCCGCCAGGGCCAGGGCCGCAGTGGCAGCGCAAAGACGGGACAGGACGCCCGGGGTCCCGGCTGCCGCCCCAGCCCCATCCTGCGGCCGAGGGGACCGAGGGCCGAGCTGCGCCAGGGTGTCGCCAGCGGGGAAGCCCTGGTGCCACCACAGCCGGTTCCGGCCGGTTCCAACCAGTCTCTCCTCTCACGCGTCGGGACACCAGACCTCACACACTCACCATTTCCCGGCTTCCGGTGTCCGGGTTCCTCCCTCTGCCTCCCGCTGTCAGTGCGGGTCCCAGCGCGACAGAAGCTGCCACAGACGTTCCAGGGCGTCTCTCAGTGACAGAACCCGGAGCCCAGTGCGGGGGCGTGGAGAAGACTCGGCGGGTTCTTTGAACCTTGCACCCTCCTCCGGGCAGCGCGCCTGATTGACAGTTCCCACGACCCCGCCCCGCGGCCCTGATTGGATAGTGCGCCAGGTCCCTCCCCCGGGGACTGAGTAACGGAAGAAGCGATCTCAGCTGCAGAGTGGAGCCTGATAAACAGATTCCAGACACAGGCCTTGAGAGGACTAGCTTCCTCCCTGCGCCGTGACCTGACCCCCTCCCAGGGGATATTTGCATTTAGGCAGTATGTCCTGATTGTACTCAATGGGACCTTTCTCCTTCTTCCTCCTGGACAGGGACCCACAAGTCTGTGCAGGAAATTCCAGACTCACTGTCCAGTTGAGCTATCCCCTGATTTGAGAGCAGGAAGGGAGCCCAGGCCACACTGCAGCAGGAGGGAGGGCCTGATGTCCTCCAGGAATCAGGAGTTTGGGATAAGGCTGTTGGCTGCACAGGCTAAGCCTTTCTTCCACCTTATCTCTCAGTCTACTAATTTTCAGTGCAGAAGATAAAAACACCCCAACAAGGCCGGGCGCGGTGGCTCACACCTGTAATCCCAGCACTTTGGGAGGCCAAGGCAGGTGGATCACCTGAGGTCAGAAATTCGAGACCAGGCCGGGCGCGGTGGCTCAAGCCTGTAATCCCAGCACTTTGGGAGGCCGAGATGGGCGGATCACGAGGTCAGGAGATCGAGACCATCTTGGCTAACA